TTACAAGCCTGGCCGGGTGTGGCTCAGCGGTTGAGCATCGACCTAGGATCCAGGAGATCGGGGTTCGATTCTGGTCCGGGCACATGCCTGGGTTGTGGGCTCGGTCCCCAGCTGGGGGCGTGCAGGAGGCAGCCAATCAATGATGAGTCTCTCATCACTGGTGTTTCAAGTCTCTCTCTCCCTCTCTCTCCCTGTCTCTGAAATCAATAAAGATGTAAAAAAATAATAATAAATAAAAAATAAAGCACATACAAGAAGAATTCGCATGGCTGACAATATCCATAGTTGTCCTGATCTACTCAAGGCTTCATAATTCTCCTTGGGCTTTCCTTTCCATTTCTTCACTTGATCTTCACAACAATCCATGAAGCAAGAAAAGCAACGATTACTTTTTCCATTTGATAGTTGGGGGAACAAACCTATGGAAGTGAAGGGTCACTCCATACACATAATAACTGTGGGACAGAGCCAGGACTCCAAAGTCCTAGGTCAGCTCAGTCCTCCCATAGACCCCCGGATTCTCCCCTTGACCAGCATAAGACACAATAGCCCCTGCAATGGGCCCCACTAGAGGCAGCGAACAGCCTTCTCCCGCTCTTCTCTTCCCACAGGTCTCCAGGGGTTGCTTGGCAACCAGCACCCAGCAGTAAGTGGCCTCCAGTCAGGTTTGTTGCTGTGGAGCTTCCAAGTCTCCCTCCCTTCACACCTGTTCATGCTCACTCTCTACTAATAAGACTTCGCCCCTACCCCCACCTCCCCAGTAAGATTCTCTTCTTTGATCCACAATAATTAACCTCCCAGGTTACAGAGGGGGCTCTCAGGAACCTATGTGGGGAGGGACCCCAGGGAACAAGGTACTATCAATGTCTTCATCATCTAACATCCCCCAGAGATGACAGAAACTCCTTTTGTGAATGGTTCTTCTCAAAGATGCTCAAGCCTCCTCTTCTTCCCTCTCCACCTTTCGCCCTGACAATGGCTTTCTGCAATCCTCTGGGAGAGATCAAATAGGCTGGAGAAATTTAAATGAACACTTCATGCTGTGCTAGTGAGTCCCTGAATGCAGTTCCAGCACATCTAAAACGACAGGTGGGAAACCTTGGGAGGGGCCCAGTCACCCTTTGCATGTGGATCAAGAGCAGAGAAAGGAAGAAACCTACCATTTATTGTGTTCCTAATATGTGCCAGGCACAATAGTATATTACCACATTTAGGCCCCCCAACAAGCCTGGCAGGCTTTTACAGTTGAGGATATTATCTATTCACAGAAGTGAAGTGACTTACCAAAGCTCACACTGCTTAAAAAAAAATCACAGAAATTTTGTTTACCAAAGTAAATATATATGAGTAGATATGTATTTCTTCCTCTCTATATATGATTCTGTAAATTCTAGTCCTAACTCTCTACCCTCATTTCCATGTATGTCATTTTTGTCATTGTCTTAGTGTTATGTACCAAATGTTTGTATACTTCCCCAAATTCACAGGTTAAAGCCCTAATTTCCAGTGTGGCTATATTTGGAGATGGGGACTCTAATTAAGATTAACTGAGGTCATAAGGGTGGGGCCCTGATCTAATAGGATTAGTATCCTTATAAGAAGAGACATGAAAGAGCTGGCTCACTCTCTCTCCATGTATACACCAAGGAAAGGCCAGGTCAGCACACAGCAAGAAGGCATCTGTATTCTTGCCAGACATCAACCATGCTGACACCTTGATCTTGGATTTCCAATCTCCAGAACTGTGAGAAAATAAATTTCTGTTGTTTAATCCATCTAGTCTGTGGGTTTTTGTTATGGTAGCCTGCAGAGGCTAATACACTTAACTCAATTCCTTATAACTTAGACAAACCACTAGTTTCTTTGCCTCACTCCCATCTATTGTCCAAACTGAAACCAGAGATTTTTCTAAAATGCAGATTGACCTTATTAAAACCCATCTATGTCTCCCCAATGCCTATGGTAGTATTATCCAAATTTATGCCCCTATTAAGTAAGAAAAATGAAGGCACAGCACCCACAATATTTGTATATTTAAATTATATATACATACTTCTACTTCTGTACACAAAAGATGTTAAAATACATAAAATGACATAAATACTATTTAAATGTTTAAATTTTAGTGTATTTATGAACAGTACAGAAAACTCTTTTTACAGAAAAGCACATATGCATACATACACCAAAAAATTTTCCTAATTTTTTTTTTTTAGTAAAAGCAATGTGATTGGGTCAAATCTAATTAGATTGTCATTTATTTTACCTCAAAACATGGCCAACAATGAAGTTGTGCTAGGAGTCAGAGAAATATCAGTTCAGCCATTTTCTGTGCTCATTTGGGCTCCCTATAATTAGTACAGTCTTCAATCAGAGGTTTCTTTGCAGGACTCTTTTAAAGCCACATATCCATTGTGAGGGTTCATTTAGTTAAAATTAGGTAGTAAAATCAATAAATCCACTTAACCAGGCACAGGAAAACGGCAAAAGCTCACGATGGGCTAAAAATGAATGAAAAGTGAGGGAGCCTCCACTGCCAACCCCTTAGAAGGGCAGAATGTCTATTCCTACCTGAACATTTTTCTAGTGTAGAATATGTGACCATCTGATGTGGAGAGCAAATGAAGACATCTTTATCAATCTCTATAATAAGTATTAGTAAACATTTATTTTCTCTTCACAGATAAAATAAACTCTAATAGTTTCTCCTAAGGAGTCATCAGGCATTTACCCTCTGACCCATGGCAAGAACCTTCTGTTTGTTGTGCAAGGTCTCTTTGACCCCCAAGCTGCCACCTAATAGCCTCTCCATAAAATTTAACTCCGCACATCATCCCTGCTCCTTCACAGCCTTACTCTAATTAAACTGTGTTGCTCACCATGCCCCAAATATCCTGTGCTCTCACACCCCACCCCTCCTCTACCCCCGTGTGTTGGCTGCAAAGAACATGTCAGATAACTTAAGTGGAAGCACTTGGCACATAATAGGTACTTAATAAATGCTTATTGATTCTCGCCATGAGGTAGTTAAACTAGATCAGTGGTTCTTCAATTTTAGCCTGCCTCAGAACCACCTGGAAGGCTTGTTATAACACAGATTGTTAGATGATATCCCAGAGTTTCAGATTCAGTGGGTCTGAAGAGGGGCCCAAGAACTTGCATTTCTGTCAAATTCCCAGGTGATGCTGATGCTGCTGATCTAGAGGCCACACTTCTAGAACCAATAAACTAAATGGTCTGTATAGCTTCTGACATTTTTAATGATTTATGATTCTTCAATGCTTTTAATAGAGATAAAATGAACAAAATTAACTTTTATCTCCATATAAATTAGTACTTAACATTGTCATACATGGAAATATAGGCTCTATAAGGTCTAATGTGCTTCTCAACAGTGTACAGAAAAGCACATAATTTAGAATCAGAAGATCTAAGCTGGAATCCCATTTTATAGTTGTGTGGTCAACCTAAAGCAAGTTAATTATTCTCTGAATCTGAATTTTTTTCTTCTGTCAAATAGGAGTGTATTAAAATAATACTTGCCTCTTGGGGTAATTATAAGGTAATATGTTTTATTCATTTTTTTTTAATCCTCACCTGAGGATATTTTTTCCATTGCTTTTCAGAGAGAGTGGAAGGAAGAGAGAAAGAGAGAGAGCGAGAGAGAGAGATCAATGTGAGAGAAAGAGACATTGATTGGTTGCCTCCCACATGTGCCCCAACTGGGGCGAGGGATCAAGCCTGCAACCAAGGTACGTGCCCTTGGCAGGTATTGAACCTGGGACCCTTCAGTCCACACGCTTATGCTCTAACCACTGAGCAAAACTAGCTAGGGTAAGGTAATATTAATATATGGAAATAATTTATAAAAAGAAAATTACTGTATTCAGACTATACCAATAAGATATATGCACAATGTATTAATGTATATTTAACAAGTCCAATAATAAGTAATACATGTTTTGGATACTTAAAATGACAAATTTTCAAAATTTCTAATCTAGGTGCTAACTCACTATTGAAAAGTATATGATCTATATGTTGCTATATCATCTCAAATATTGTATATATTTTATTAGTACCACTGGTAGATACCAATAATAGTAGCTGTGGTGGCCAGCTTCCAAGATGGTCCCCCATGATCCTCACCTCCCACAATTCATGCCATTGTATAGTTTCCTCCTACATTTAATCAGTGACTAATAGAATACTCTAAGGCTAAGTAATAGGAGACACTGCCACTTCCACTTTGGTTTCTTGGATCTCTCCAAGAGCTAGGGGAAGTCAGCTGCTATGCCATGAAGACACTTAAGCAGCTCTGTGGAAAGAGCCACATGGGAATGAACTAAGACCTTCTACTAACAGCCAGTACCACACATGTGAATAAGCCACCTTTGAAGGGAATCTTCCAGCCCCACTCAAGCCTTCTGATGACTGTAACCCAAGCCAGCATCTGGCTGCAAGCTCATAAGAGGCCACAAGCTAGAAACTAAGCCACTCTCAAATGTTCAGATCATAGACACTGTGTGGTAATGAATTATTATTGTTGTTTTAAGCCATCAAGTTTTGGAGTGATTTGTTATGCAGTGATAGACTATGGATACAATAGCTAACATTTATTGTGCATTAACTATGTTCCAAGAACTATATTAAGCACCCATATATAAGTAGTCCTATGATGTAGATGATATTATAAGTAAGTGGCAGACCTAGAATTTGAATTAAGGTCTCTAACTCCAAAGCCCAGATTTTTGGTCACTCATTTGTACAGGCCAGGATAAAGCCTCTTGGATAGTTAAGCAGCAGAAGCAACTGAGCCCCCAGAGGAGAGCAAACTTGTATAAAAACAGCAAGGGGCAGTCCAGGGGCCAGACCAGCAATGGCATTAGTACCTGATGCTGTAAAACCCAGAAGTTCCAAACCGGCCCCACCCCGCAGGCCTGATTCTAGCAGACTAGTCCCCTGTCAGGATAATCCTGCCCAAGATGCCCCGGACTCACCCAGATCTGCAGCTTCACTCGCTTCTCATTGCGGTAGACTGTCTTCACCTTGAAGTCGATGCCCACAGTGCTGACAAAGGCTGGGGTGAAGGTATCATCGGCATAGCGGAAGAGGAAGGAGGTTTTGCCAACGCTGCTATTGCCGATAATGAGCAATTTGAACATGTAGTCAAAATTCTGGTCGGAGGCATCTTTGACTCCAGCTTTACTATCAGTCACTGAAGCCATCTGCAGGAGAGACATGTGGTCACTCAGAAACACATCTCTAAGTGTCACCCTCACTCACCAACCTTTTAATGGTCACTCCACCATTCACATACTCATTCCCCACCCCAGCATCACTGAGGAAACACACACTACTCAGAATCACCCCATTACTGCACCTGTCCCAATGTTGTCTCAGGATTAGGTGGAACCCAGCTCCTCCCATTCATTCCTTCAGCAAATATTTACTGAGCACATTGCTCTGGGTGAAACCCTGTGCCGGGCATGGGGAATACAAATATGAATCAGACATGGTGTCTGATCTCTGAGTGGCCACAGAATAGAGTCAAAAAGCACGTACAGTAAAAAAAAAAAGAGAAACAAAGCAGTAAGGAAGTCTTGGCTGAGGAAGCCCACAAGAAACATCTAACCCAAACTGGAGAAATGGTCAAGGAGAGTCTACTATGGGGAAAAAAGACAAAACAGCAAACACATGAACATTTCAGGAACGGCCCAGTACAGGGCTATCATTCCCGTTTTAAAAACTTTTATGGCCCAGCCGGCATGGCTCAGTGATTGAGCATTGACCTAGGATCCAGAAAATCGAGGTTTGATTCCTGGTCAGGGCACATGCCCGGGTTGTGGGCTTGATCCCCAGTAGGGGGCGCACAGGAGGCAGCCAGTCAATGACTCTCATCATTGATGTTTCTCTCTTTCTCTCCTTTCCCTTTCTCTCTCTGAAATCAATAAAGATATATCAAAAAACAAAAACAAAAAACCCAAAGAATAAACTTTCTAAGCTTTATCTTCCCCTAAGTCTTCTTACCAACCTGTGCTACTTTTATACCAAATTACACACTCTACCCCAAATATGCAGTATTTCTTGCTTTTGTCCCCTTAGACATGTATTCCTCCTTTTTGCCTACACATTCCTCTCCTAACAAACTCCTACTCACCCTTACAGATCCAAATGAAATCTCCCCTGCCCTGTGCATGGCAGAGACATGCACTCCTGCTCTGTGCTCCCAGAGCACTGCAACAGCACTTGTATTATTTCAGAACTGTTTACTATTCTAGCTTCTCCTTTAGACGAAGTATCTGAGATTTAAAGTACTTCATTTCTGCCTCTCTAGCTTCTAGCACAAGTCCTAGTATGCAATCAGCACTCAGTACAACGTGTGCTGAATTAGTAAGAGTCACGTGGTCGCTCTGGGGCCCAATCTCATCCTCTGGAAAATGGGAAGAACAATTTCTGCCCTGCTTTTCTCACAGAGCTGTTACAGTAGGACTCAAATGAGATAACAATGAGGAAGACTTAAATAAACTGGTAAATCCCACAAAGGTGTGAACATAAGTCATTATCATTCCAAATCCTTCAAAATTTAGATCCTTTGCTTATTTACTTGTTCATTCACTCATTCATTCATTCAGCAAGTATTTACTACATGCCAGACCTTCCCTGAGACCCCGATGCTCTCAGACCTGCCACCACCCTCTCTTTTCCTAGAACACTTTGGATCTGAACTTCATAATCCAGCAAGCACTTGGTCCCACAGTCTTTAATTTGAGTCTTTACTTGCTTTTCTACATCTTACCAGCTGCAGGTACCCTGCTTCTCCATCTGTAATCTCTTCATGTGTTCAGCACTGGGTACTCGAACAGGCTGGGTGAGTAGTCAGGGAAGGGTGGGAAGACAGCCCTAATGTGAGATAATGTTCAGGGTGTCACTCTCTTTAGGAATTCCTGCTTTTTTTCCCCCAAAGGAAAAAGAAAGAGGGTGAGACTGGTGGATTTATCTCTATGAGCCTCTCCAGTGAGCTATAAGGTTACAGCTCTCTTGAAGAAAGGTCAGACAAATATGTGGGATAATTTATTAGCAGCCCTTTAATAATACTTCCTTAAATAAGCCACCACTAGCCTCCGGTGGCCTCTGTTCTTTCTTCTCTTTTCTCCCAGCTCTCAAGCCTTTATCTGAGAGCCACAGCTGCGTTTCCTGTACCAATCTGCCCTGTGACAAGGCTCACTAGGCAGGTGTGGGACATTCCCTGGACCCCTGGCAACTGAGACATAGCATTTACATGGAAGAAGAAAGTGAAATTGGAGGGAAGTTGTGCTTAAACTGTCAATAGCCCTAACTTTTCAGTTTTTCATGGTACAAGATGCAGAGCCTGTTTCAAGAATTGGCAGTTCAAAAGAATTATGCTTTTTCTACCTAAAACAAAGAAAGGAACCACAATGACCTCACACTATCCGCCTCTGCTGCCAGTCATCTTTGTTTGTTTACAAGAGAGAATTCCAACTTTAAAAGTATATAGTCATTGTAAAAAATTAGAAAAAAGCACAAGAGTACAAAGAGAAAAATTTTTATTACCAGACATCCCATCCATTCAGAAACTGCCATTGTTAACATTTTAAGTGTATTTCCTCCTTTATTTTTCATGCAATAAAACGCCATCTATTTTAAATTAGATCTTATTGTTTGTTAATTTAAAAGGTAATACACACATTGGAAATAATTCAAATAAATTTTTAATATTTGTAAATACTACTTTATGACCATCTACAGTTTGCATTATGTTCTTAATTTTAAGCATAAAAATAAGCAATATGAACCTAAAGGTTTACAGTGGGGGGAAAAATCCCACCCCTGATTCCCAATCTTTGTTTCCTCTCCCCAGAGGCAAACAAGTTACCAATTCATGAATCCTTCAGAGATAGTCTTTGCACATATAAGCATAGAGGTCTGTTTATATTTTTATCTGTATAAAATGATAACATACTATACATTCTAGTCTGTACTTTCTATGTATATTTTAATAGCTAAGATCATATTTTCATTAGTTTTGTACCCTGCTAGTTTTCACTTAACATTATATCATAAATATTTTACTAGGCTTTTAAAACTCTTCATAAATATCAATTCAATTGACTGTTACATTATATTCCATCCAAGGATGTGTCATATGACCAATTCTTTAACACTGTATATTTAAGGTATTTTTCTGTTCTTAATTATTATAAATTAAACCACAGTGACCATTTCTTTACATAAATATTTGTTTGCTTTCCTGTTTATTTCCTCAGGGGCAATCTTAGAAATGGAACTGCTGTCAGAGAGTAACTTTACTAAAACACAGATTTGATCCTTACCTCAATTTTATGTCCTTTATCTTATATCATCCTCTAAATAAACCTGGGAGATAAAATTGGAACGACAGAAATTATTATTGCCATCTGATCAAGAAGGAAACTGAGAGCCAGAAATTAAGAGGACTTTCCCAAGCCCCGAAGCTGACAACAGACACTAGACCTAGTACCGTGCTGTGTTAAAGGAGAGTTCAAAATCCCTGCTCTGCTCCTCAGCTGGATTCTTGGGCAAGTCATATGGACTCTCTAAACCACAGCATTTTTACCTTAAAATAGAGAAAATACCACCTACTTCACAGAACTGTGGTGCAAATAGAATGAGCAGTTACCATATGTAAATATCGTGGCCTAATTTCCTGGCCCATGGGAGGTCCTCAATCAATATTATTTCACCGGCCCTTTAATTTATTCTGCAGTCAAATCTTGTTCACCTGCCCTCCCCCTGATCTAGGCTACATTATTTGAGCTTGTTTAATTAACTATCTGCCTCTTCTTCTGGAATAAGCTGAGTTGTATCCATCCTTACACCTGTCAATACTGGACCTACAGTCAACCCACAGGGCATATTACTCCTTTCAATAAACATTTAGTGAGCATTTGCCATGTGCCAGACTAACGATGTAAATGTTATATTATTGGTCTTCATTTTTCTGATGCAGCTGTTTACATTCTTAGATTCCTGGAATTAGAAGGGGTTTTGGAGTGGCAGCTTTATCATAACAGAAAGCCTGGCTCTTGGTCCCAGCTTTCCCAGTAACTCAATGTATGAACCTGGGCAAGTCACTTAAACTCTGAGCTTCAGTGTCCTCATCTATGATATGATAATATTACCTACCTTGCAGGGCTGCTGTGAATTTTAAATAAGAGAATGTATATAAGTGTGTTTTGTGCATGTACTGTGTGGGGAAAAATACCTGTGACATCGTGTAGAATCAGCCTTTATTAGCTATGTCTGCCACAGGTGTGAGAGTGGGGAGTAAGGCAACAGTCAAAAACAGTCTCAGCTCCTGGCCTGATCCACTCCCCTTCATTTTACAGGTCAAAAATTGAGGATCCACAAAGAGAAGTGATTTGTCCAAAGTCACACAGCAAGCCATGACCAGAACTTCCATTATCTAATGACTCCTAGGTTGGACTGGACTTAGGGGGGAAAAACCTGCAACAGCCCAGCCAGTGTGGCTCAGTGGTTGAGCATTGACCTATGATCCAGGAGACTGCGGTTCAATTCCCGGTCAGGGCACATGTCCGGGTTGCAGGTTAGATCCCCAATGTGGGGCGTGCAGGAGACAGCAGGTCAATAATGTTTCTATCTCTCTCTCTCCCTCTCCCTTCCTCTCTGAGATCAATAAAAACATATATTTTTAAAAAGCAACAAATAAACAAAACCTGCAACAGTTTCAGAGTGAGTAAAGAAGCATCCCCAGCGCCCTGAGCATCTCTGTCCTAGCACTTGCCATACTGTACTGCCAACATCTATTTATGTGCACACAGCGTAGCTTTCCCAGTAGGTGGTGTGAGATCAGGAAAAGGCAGAGGGCAGAGAGGTTCAGTTGGAAGGCACGTTCAGATGTAAGCCCCGAGGGGTTCTTCCCAAGGTGGGGGCAGGTGCTACACAGACACTTGGAAGAGAGGTAAAAATCATCCTAGCAAGGCAGATCTGAGCAGACAGGTCACAGCACATGGTGAATGCAGAACCACACTTGTAAGATAACCATCAGTCAGATCTTCCCTCTCTTTTGTGACAGTCACATAAATGACAGAGCTGGGTAGCTCGCTGTCTCCGTGACAAGCAGTATAGATGAAGGCCCAGGGACCATCTGGGAAGTCATCCCTGGTTCCTGGCCAGGGGAAAGAAGAAAATGGCTCCTCTAAGAGTTAGTGTGAAAAACTAA